AAGCTGAAGCATAAGAAGTTCCGTCTCCAGGTGAGGAGCAACTTCTTTACTGTGAGGGTAACAGAGCAGTGGAACAGGCTGCCCAGGGAGGTTGTGGAGTCTCCTACTCTGGAGGTCTTCAAAACCCGCCTGGATGCCGCCCTGTGCCACATGCTCTAGGTGTGCCTGCTTGAGCAGGAAGGTTGGACTAGATGATCTGTAGAGGTCCCTTCCAACCTTAAATATTCTGTGATTCTGTGATTCTGTGAAATCTCTTGTATTCTTGTACTCAGGACATAAGAGTAGGGCAATTATGCAGGTCTCTTCTCTTTTGTCTGCATTGAGGATTGTGGAAGGGGTTGGGTTTGAAGGATACTGCAATTGGTGTTCAGAGGCTGTCAAATATCATCCACTAGCTACCCATTCAGCATGAGTTAGTGCCATCATTATTAACCACCAGCATAGCAGAGAGACTTGTTTATGATCACACATACTCCCGGATTTTTTTTTTTTTTTTTTTTTTTTTTCTGGAGGGGTGAAGGAAGTTATTGCACTTGACTGGTGTTATGAGATAACTGAAATGATTATGAGTTAACCTCAGTAATCCTGAAGTAAAGGGTACTCCTTTAATATGTTGTACAAAATGATAATCTTTTTACAAAGACACTTTTATGAGGCCTAACAGTAATTGGAGAGTGAATTTCTGATTTTAACAATTTGTAACATTAAGTAAGAGTTATTACTAACATTTCAGATGTGTCCACATAGACTAACAGTGTGGCTAGTTCCTAGAAAAGCGATTAACAAGGATCAGCTTTTCACTGCAGCATACTGCAGAATAGTTGCTTCTCTGGAAAAGTAAATAGTTGCTCTGAAAGAGTTGTTCCAAAAAGTAAATATTGTTCTAAATTAGACTTCTTGTAGAAATCTAAAGCATGTAGGAATTTCAAAATATTTTTGGCAATATTTTGATCTTAGAGGTGAATTCCAATGTCTTTACTGAGGTCTAGTTTTGTTGCTTCAGAGTACTAGTAAACTGTTAATACTGAGTTGAAATAGTTCCAAGTTGAAATAGTTCCAATAATTCCAAAAGAAGAATGTTATCTACTTAAGAAACTATATTGCTTAAACCAAGTAATACTGTTTTAATAAGTGAACCTTGAATCAAGAAACTTTTGATTATGTCACATAGTGTGGATTGCATTAATTATATGGGGTAGTTATAAGTCCCCATAAGGTAACATCTAAGTTCAGTGCTGAAATATGTTTTGTACTTAGAAGCAGAAGGATAATTCTGGAGATGCTAAGACCCTTGAATAATTTTTATCAGAGACACCACTACAAGAATCCTTCCTCTCTATCCCTCCCTGGAATTAATAGCCTGATGACCAGTTGACTCTATTTATAAATTTGAAGCAGTAATTTTTTTTTTTCCTAAATGTAGTTTATAGATTTTGGCAGAATGATCTTGAGTATTCACTGTATCTCTAGGGCTGATGTCCTCTTTTGTCCCCCTTGCTGGACGTAGAAAGAGCACATCCACTTACTAGTGACTACTGCTGCTAATCAAGTGCTTTCATTAACAAAGAAACCTTCTTGTTAACAAGTTAAGGTTAGCTTTCCATGCCATGGACCTAAAGATTAGCAATACTGCTTTAGCTCATTTGTTAGCAGGCAATTAATGAACAATTGATCAAGCTTGTTTTAAAGATTTTTCTTTAAGAAAAGAGATAAGAATTCAGCCCAAATTGAGAGATACAGATTGCCTGTTGAAACTGGTAGAAGCACTTGTATGAGAGAGGATTTCTTCTACACGTAAGAATATTCAGATTCATATCTGAGTTGGCACACCTATATAGCATAGCCTGATGTGGTAGGTCGAAGGAAAAGATTTTGTCTACTTTTCTGTCTCTTCCTAACAGACTTTGATTAATTGCTCAAGCAATGGCTTCTAATTTGGAAGATAAATTAATTTCTTATGACCCAAACTGTTTTAATATGTTTTCTTTTTTGTTTGACCCAAACTGTTTTAATATGTTTTCTCTTTTGTTGTTGTTTTTGTTGTTCTATGTTAGAAAGCGTTTTTGGAAATAATCTTTTATTTGGTAAATGAGATCCAAGCATCCTAATGCGTGGAAGGGTGGCATATATCTGAATATGGTTATAACTATAGCAAGCAAATATTATATCATGAATGCAGAAAGGCACTTGAGTGTTTTCCAAGACATTTTGCAGATCTGAATAGCAAAGACATAGGTGACTGAGAAAATCTTGTATATCTTGCCAAATTGAGATGTATCCATGGAGAAGAGAAAAAGCTAGGAAAGCAGTCCTTCATTGCCTTTAGTACTGAGATAATGAACATATGCACAGAAAGACCTGTTCCCAAGCTCCACTGGATTCACTATGCCTCTACAGACCTTGCTGGCTCTGGTTAAGCAGATTCTTATCTCATATAATTAACAAGGAAGGTATGAGCCTAGGAGGGAGGAAGAAAGAAAAAAAAAAATCTCCCTGTGAGAGGAGAGCATTTGCTCATGGGCTGTTGTTCCTTAGGAGGCTTGTGGCCAGTGATGGCCTTGATCATTCGACTTCTGTCTGAGTGATCCTACTTTGTAGACTAACATGAAAAAGCAAGGATGAGATGCTGAAAGGTATAATAGCCATACTTTAAGATAGCTTTTTCCAAATGTAAGATTATGTAGAGGCAGAGGCTAGAGAGCTGAAAGCCTTTGAAAAGTCCTTGATCCAAAAATAACACATATTTCAAATTAGGTGCGAAAAAATCATTATAAGAAGCAGAACTTGAGCACCTTCCAAAATGTCTTTTTCTTCCTTAATGGAAAACTCATTTTTATGGGGTTTTATTCATTGCTATGTGTTTTTCTTTTAAAACTACTGTACATCAGTTGAAGTTTGGTTAACGCTTAATTATTCATTCTTTTCAGTTTTCGCTTGGTTTAAGGATAGATGTCATTAGGGAAATGGCTTCCTTTTTTTTTTTTTCTTTTTGCATTTGACTTTTGATATCTGCTGTTACTACTTTGTAAAAATACAGTCACTTGATATTAGCCATCTTCTATTTTTGACTTAACACGGAATGTGATATCCTGTAAGAACGGCTGTGGGAAACTTGTAAAAAGCTGCCTGTTGTGAGTCACTTAGTGCTAATGAAATAAGTGGTAAAATAGCAGCTCATCATGGTACATGTATAATAATAATTCTACAGTAAAATATCCTTTATAATCTAAAGCTGAAGAAATTACTTTCCCAACAACCACCATGTTAAACTCAGTAAAGATTACCAACTGCGCTTTAATAAAACAGAAATGTTGCCATGTTAATTTAGTAATTCCAAAGGTGTAAATATTAAGGTTCTGTCAAGTGGTGCTTGCTGCATTTGTACAATACCTAAATGAATGATCATATTAATTAATGAAGTAAAATTACAGTTTTACTGCATGTAAGGCAACCTGTAATGCAGTGTTGTTCTCAGGTCTGAGCTTTCTGCTAAGCGCAACCTAGACCTAAAGAGCAAACTCAGAATATGGACTGTTCAGTTGCCTTCCCTTCATTCCTTTTGGAATAGGTGACTCTCAATTGTTTGACTGTACATACAACAGCTCATCATCCCTGTTTAGGTAAATGGTAGCTATGATGGCAGAAAGAGAGCTTTTCTGCCTGCAAGAGCACACAGGGGAGTTTTCATTAAGTAATTGAGTAACTGAGGCATTTTTGAATAAAATGTAGATCACATCTTTGGGCAATTCTCAGGAACTCATGCTGGGGTGGAAAAAAAAATAGCACAAAAATCAAGATCTCAGTCAACTGTTTAGGAAGAAGAATAGCAGAGAAGCAGCCATACTTTCTTCACACTGGTATTATAAAACATAATTTATTGAAAAATTGCAGAAAGCAGTCTCCCAGTAAAATGCTTTCCCTTCATAGGGCAGCAGGTAGATCTGCACATCTCTGCCATGACCATTTTATCTGAAATAGTTACAAATGGAATTACAGAGGGAAAAGAAATTGATATAGTAATTTAACTCTGTTTTACTTTCCTGGCTTATTCTCATCAGTTTGCTCACCAATTTTCTGTCATTTCCTTTTGAATTGCTTCTTGTTACTGAATTTTGTCAATGCCTGGAGTTATGGGAATATAGCTTGTATTTGTGTGCACAACCTAGAAGAATCTGAAAATCTGCTAATTGTCATAAAGTTTAGATTATTTGATTTTTGAAATCAATCAGAGATTTGATTCTCAAATCAGAGCTTATTCTCTTCTTGTGATATGCAGTTAAAATGGTAGTACAGTTTTGTATGGGCTATTTTATTTTATTATATTTTCCTTGAAGAAGTGAAGGTCGAAGTAGGGCAGTTTCTTAAATGTCAGCCTTCTTAGAGACTAGGGCTATTGTTTTTTGAGGACTGAGTTGCACTGTCCCATTTTCACTATTCATATGAATAGTGAAACATCTTCTTCAAATATTGCAGTTATTACTGGTCATATCTACTGCATTTTTTCCTATTTTTACTAACTTTTATTTATTTATTTTACGGAATTGAAATACAGAGCAAAGCAACAAATAAAGCCTTGGGCAATTTTAAAAATTCTTTTTCCAAGCTATACAGTCTGAAGTATTATTTGCCCTTTTTTCTGTCAGTTCATGTTCGCATATTCTGTTGCAGGTCAGTTCCTCCTAGAAGAATCCCGCCTGATAGAAGCAGCTGAAATGGCAAAGAAAGCAGCTGAACTAGATAATACAGAATTTGATGTTGTTTTCAATGCAGCCCATATGCTCAGGTTAGTGCTTTTACATCTGTCTTATTTGATTTTCTCCTTTCTTTTTAGGGAAGTTTTTACAGTCTTTGCTTACACAGGGTTTTTTAAACCCCGGTGTCTGTTTAGAATAGTTCATTAGTAATAGCAAGGTAAAAAGAAATGGAGTTAAACTTCTGCACAATTTAGCACTGTGAATTTTAATTTTCTGTGTGTTAACTCATAATTTATTACCTTGGAAATTTCTGTTCTTCACACAGAAGTAATCCTTTGTGCTTGCATATGAGAAAAGTGTCTGAAGAACCTTTTGCAAGATTTATTTTCACTTGATTTTTAAAGATTTAGGGCGCATAGCAATTGCAAATAGGAAAGAGCAATTCTGGTCTGGCTTTTACTAGATAATATTGAAAGTATTGATTTTTTTTTTTTTTTATTAACATGAGTTAGAAGACTATGATAATTAGAAACCTAAATAGTCTCAAGCTAACGATAACTTTGAGGCACAGGGGCAATTAATGGTATTGTCAGAATCTATGATTTAAAATGTAGTCTTCTGTTCTCTTATCTGAAGAGAATAAAATTGTAGGCTATTTACTTTTGAAGCTGTCGCACCTGGATATTCAGTAAAATTAAGCTTCTGCCTGAGCAGTATCATTAAACCCACATTACAATAATAGGTATCCACAATGCTTACTCCCAAGATAACTATCTAATTATTATCTATTGTATGCTTAACACGTATGAGAACACTTGATTTCATTTAGGTTATATCTATATTTAGAAAATACTTGAAAATGGAATAAAAAATATACTTCATTAGCACAAAGCTTTTCTTGGAATTGTTTCTCTAATGAAGATCTCTTGCTTGGCTGTTTATACTTTTAGCTTTTAGGGTAGAAAATAACGGGAAAAGAAAATGGTATTAAAAATAAGGTGGAATCAGCTTCCGCTGAGTGACCTAGGTTTCTATACTAGGATTTTGAAATAAGCCCTAAAGTACCCTTTGAGAAACAAGTCTTACATTAGAAAAGAAGCCAAGACAAAAGGTTCACAGGTAGACATTATGTCAACCTCCAAGAGATATATGAATTATTTAAAGGATTCCTCCTTTTCACCTGATTATATTCTAAACATTATCTCCTCAAAATAGAATTCATTAAATTCAAACATTTATGTTAATGAATCAAATTCATAGAAATAAGCATAGCAAATTAGGCATGAAAGCCTCAATCCAGGAGGGTGTAGAGTGCTAGACTCCTATGGGTTTCACTGGTGAGAAGTGGAAGATGGTTTAATTGTGTACAGTTGTGTAATGTTTCTATTTTTAAAGTGTGCTGGAGTAGATGTAGCAAAAAAGTTGATCAATACTGTTTTGAAACCAAGTTTAACATCTCTCGCTTACTCTGTGACCACTGAGTGAAGTATGTCGGATCTTGAAGGCACATGTATTTATGTCTATGCATATGAGTATTGTTTATTCACTCCTGGAGCTGGATCTGTGCTACTCTATGTGTATCAGTCCCAGGTTCCCTAATTGATGTGGCTGGGATTTAGGAGGCTTTGACCAGCATTGAGCTCAGTGATTCTGAGTTGCATTCTCTATTTTATTTTAACTATAGGCATGAATCAAAACCTTAAAATACAAAGAAACAGCTCCCTAGAAAGAAAAAAAAATGCTATTGGTGTAGTTTAGCTAGTACTCCCTTAAGATTCTCTGTTGGTCTAATTTTTCATTTGAATACTTAATTTTCTTTATGAGGGATCCTAATGTCTTCCTAACATGCTCTTGGAGTCTCAACTTGTTTCAATGATTTAGCAAGAGTCTGGGTGGCAAAGCTAAGTTCAGTGCTGCCAAGTATTTGCTGAAGACCACATGTGTAATGATCTGGCCATTTGTTGCTGAAAAACTATGATCCTAAACAAAGATCCTGGCTAGTGTTTCTGCCTGACTTTGTTCACTGTTTTATTTTGCAATTTATTCAACATATTCTTTGTGTAATAGCCACTGGACAAACAGCGTGTATATTCTTATGTTAGTACAGAGCAGCTATAAATCCCTCATAAGTTTGTGGGACTTCAAATGAAGCTGATTTTTCAGGATATTTAGACTGGAGGAGAACTGAGATGATTCTCAAAGGAAACCAGATATACAGGGTACAAATAAAAAAAAAAAAAAAAGGAAGGGAGTAGTCAGACTGGCGTAGAGTGATACAGCTAGAGCTTGTGGTATGGGTGGTGCTAAATAAAGATGCTAAAAATGCTAAATGAAAGGCTGAAATTATTAAATATAGTAGTTTAATGTGGGCATGAAGAGTTCTAAAAAACACTTAGCAAGTAAGAATTTTGAATGGTCTGCACACCTATAAGAAAGAAAAAAAAAATCACATGACAATAGTTACTAAGCCACTGAAATGAGTTCACTGTGGCGAGAGAGAAGGGATAAATTTTTAAGATATGTTGTGGATTAAGAAGAGACAGAAATTGAAATTGATCCGGATGATGAGCAAGGTGTCCAAAATGACAGGGAGGTAATAACAGCAAAGATTTTTTTGAGCAATTTCTAACAATTCTTTCAGTCCAAATATTCTACCAAGTGACATACTGATGAATTAGAAAGGTGACATTTTTGACTCCTATCATATTCCCATTTCCACCATTACCCCTAGGAGTATCACAAGATTTAGAAATGTGCAGATATTACTTCAGAATTGCAGACAAAGCCTGCAGAACTGGCTTTATAACTGCTTGAGAACCATCACAGCCTGTTTCCAAGTATGATTTATTTTTATACTCTAGTGCCAAAATATCTTTTATTCCTTTACTCTCTAATCAAAGCTTTTAAATTAAAATTCAGTCTAAATAAATATTCATAGTTTTGAAGAGTTTTGAAAAAAGCACGTATTGTGTTTCTTATTCTTTTTTTTTTTTCTTTAAGTTTGCAACAGAATTGCTAAGTGTGTCGAAAAGCAATAGCTGGGTTTATAGATAGCCTGTTCTTAGTTTAGCAGGCGCAGGAAACAGACTTCTGCTCCTTAGGTCAGATCCTCCAACGCTGTTTACGTCCTGTCTTTGTGACAAATCTGGCAGCTGAATTCAAGAAAAAGTAAAAAAAAAAAAAGGAAAAAAAGGTTTAGTTCAGCTTGCCTCATTAAGGGACCCTCGCAACCCTAATTACACAAACATGGTTATTAAGTTTTTGCACTGCTGACTGCTGTTGAAGGCTGATAACACAATGTCTGATGAATCGAATCATCAGCAATAGGAGCAAGATGTGGAATGAATGTAATTAATTTCTTTGCAACCGTCTGGTAACTTTTAGCTTTCACAGTACTCATTGGTAAAAGTTGCCTTTTTTTGAAGCATATTTGATTTTCAAACAGCTTCATTCAAGGGTCATGTTGCTGTTCAAGTGCTTCTTCTTAAAACAATAGCAGGCTGTGTGTGTGTGTGCTACTTTTGCAGTATTTGTTCTGTTCTTGTTTATAGCCTCAGTTTTTGAAGCCTTTCAGGAAAGCAACTTGCATTTTAATGGAATGTAGGGAAATATTTGAATTGAAGTATTTGAAATACTTAATGGTGGCTGTAGTTTTAGTGACTAAGAGGAATTCCATGTTAGGAGTGCTAATTTTCACTGAAATTTCTTCTGATCTAAGGTGTGATTACTTTTATAATGAGGCCTGGCAATGCAGTGGGATCCCTGCACTAATTACAGCAAAAGAGCTTAACATTGTCTCCAAATGAGAAGCAGCATAAGAAGGGGAGCTTGGCTTAAAAGCACATTTTGTAGGAATAATTGGGTTCATCCCACTTTGGTAAGACAATGGGTTGCTCTGGGCAACACTCATATTTCATGAAGTTATTGCACATTTATTGGCTATTTGAAAGGAGAAACTTAAACTAGAGCCATACTACATAGCATGGCCTTTATTTTCCCTTGAATTTCTCCTGGAGCACTGGGACTTTCTAAATTTCATTGTCCATTTAAATATGCAATGTGATCACTGACTCTCATAGGCATAATTTCACCCTATGTTATTGCCTATGTAATTTAATTCATTCTTTAGCTATTATATATGTGTTTAAATGAATACATGCGTGTATATACACATAGTAGTCTGTATACAAATTTATTACTGTTATAGAACAGAAATGAGGGCTAAGAATGATGTGTGGGATGATTATGGGTAGTTGTGACTCAAAATTTTCCATTAAGAATCAAAGCTCTGTATTTTAAAGTAGATCCTTCTAGATCATAAATGTCTTTTTCCTAGCTAGACAGACATCCATGATTTCACTTAAAAATCAGAAAAAGGAAGGCTGAAGCTTTAGACCAATATGTTCCATTCCAATACATGTATTTTGATACATTTATGTATCAAAAACAGGCAACATTGTTTTTCTATTAAAGCAATGTTTTCTAGTGATCAATATAAATTTGAAATGAATCAAATTTGAATTTAATTTGAGTGTCAATAGAACCTACGAGGTGTGTTGTACGTCTGGAGCCTCACTTCTGGGGATATGAGAAAACAAAGTGAGGAGATATTTTTGCCTTTTATAATAAGATTAAAAGCTAGGTGTTAAACTGTGGAAATCAGATGTGTTTTCAAGGTCAGTCTTCATGAAAAATTTTAGGAAAAAGGTTGAAACACAAGTCATAAACATGAAAAGGACTGTATCTTCCCAACTTCTCCTTACTTCCTTTCCTCCTCTTCTATCACCATTATTTTATCTGATGTTTTACTCTGATATGAATTATATTTCCTTTAGTAGTGACCTTCCTTGGTTTTACATTGATCCAGAGTCCTTTACTGCTTCGTGGCATAGGGTTACTGCAATTTCCTACCTCTGTGCCTTTTATTTTTCTCAAGGGAAAGCCATTCCTAGACTTAACATAATGAATTTCTAGTTTCAATTTCTAGTGAAAATATGAACCTGAATTTTGCTGCATCTTAAATAAAGAAATTGTTCCTGAACACCTCAGTAATGGAAGTTGCGTTTTCCTGACCAGTTTAGTGTGGTTTGCAATCATGTATATAACCCGTTTTTAATAGCTAACTATACATTCAAACTGATTTTAACTTGGAAATGATTTCTGCAAGTTACAAGATGTATTTATGGGGAAGAAAAGACACAATGTATTTCCACTGGATGAAAAGGGGACAGGATTTTAATTTGTTCCATGTTCATGTGCCAACATGTACCTTTTTTTTGGAGGTGAAGCGTGTCTTGTGTGTCTCTGCCTTCTGGATAAGACAGCCTGCGTATGTACAGAATTGCACTGCATTTAGAAATACTTTATTTACTGACAGTTCAAAAAAAGAAGGGAAAAAGGGCTCTATGGCATGTTTAGTATTATGCCTTTTATTAGGTCCTTAAATTCAGAAGTTTGAGTTTTGTTTTGTTTTTATTGTGGTTATTCAGTAGTTTCAGGTGCTGCTAATGCTCAGCAGGAGTGATTCAAAAGCATGTTAAATGAATATTTTTAGATATTCAGTCATTTCTAATGGCTTGAGCCACTGAGTTGAATACATGTGCAAAATAATGACTGAGATTTTTTTCTGCTATTATTATTTTTTTAAATGACTTAATAACTTCAGAGTAGAAAAAAAAGACCTTTTTTTCTTTTCCCTTTGTGTGATTCAGTAATATGATAATAACAGGGGAAACATGGCCTGATGGGTAGTCCTGGTTGGCTGTTCCTATCCGTTTACCATCTCTTCATGACATTTATGCGATTAACTGAATCACATAACAAAATGAAACATTGGAAGCATTCTAGCAAGATGCAGACAAAAGGAGGGGCTAATGAGAAGAGATAAAAAAGGACCTGGTGAAACAAAAAAAAATGTTTTACTTCCTTTAGCAACATAGTGTATTTTAATTTGGAGGTATTAAGCCTGACAGAATGAAGAAAAATTCTCCCAGATTTTAAACTCCTGGGAGAGTGTAATTGGCTTCTGTAATAATACGGAGAAGGAAAATGTGGGCTGAGAGTGGTCATACACCCAAAAGCCATCCCACTCCCCTGGCTAAGAGAGGTGTAAACTGAAATACCCTCTTAGTTTGATGTGATTAGATGTTGAAATCTGAACTTCTTCCAAATGAATTCTCTGAATCATGGAAACTCATTTTTGAGAAATCATTTTATTCACTGCATTTATTTCTTTGAATGCTAGTGTTCTTGGGGAGGAACAAAGACATAAACTACACTATTTCTTGACCCACTGCTTCACAATAAATTGTTAAAGTATGACAAGTGTAACAAAAACTGGGCCAGATTTTCCTCTGGCCGTGGTCAGGGACTTGCATGTCTCCAGTTTTGCCTCAGATGAGTATGTGGTCTTTTACATTTCTGTCCAGTGTCTACTAGTACCATTTCATAACTGAATAAGAAATAAAGTGTGGAAAGAGGATTTTGTTAGAGATAATGGATATTCTGAACTACAAGAGTTTAGGTTGGTATACTTTGTGCATATTAGGTTAATATCCTTAAATAGTGGTAATGGCAGAGTAATTGTGGAGTTTTTATATTATTCTTACATATGCTTTTTTTTAAACTGAATAAAAATGAACTGCTTTTTTTTTCTCCTGTCCTGTTAGACAAGCCAGTCTCAATGAAGAAGCTGAGAAGTATTACAAAATGGCAGCAGCATTACGACCTAATGTAAGTACTTTACTAATGCTATCCATTACTTAAATTGATGAACTTGCTGCAGTGCTGAACCCTTCGTGCTGAGGAGGAACTTGCAGCTGCCCTGTTTGCTCGTTCACTCTGTGCTCTCTGTGTTCTTTTAAAGAGTAATTTGGGGGTCGTTAGATACAGCCATTCATTTGTCACACCAATCACTATACTTTCTGATCATAGTGCAATAGTCTAGCAACAGGTTCAATTTTACTAACATGCTTCAAAAAGATCTATAGTTTCAGGTATATTTATCTGCATTTAAAAATGTTTTGGAAAGGTAGTTGTAGCATTAGCTCTATTAAGTAATAAGGAGAGAGTGAAATTCTATTTAATGATCCATTTTAAATAATACATATATCTCTTTTCCTGCATGATGAAGTTCTGGCAAATATTGTTCTTCAGCAAGCTTAAAAGACCTCAGATATATTTTACTGGATGCAGTTGACAACAGCTTATCCTTTGAAATGGAAGTGCATAGGACTATGTGAGAGATATTTTTCATGAAAATCCAGATAACAATATAATTTAAAAAAATAATAATTTATTCAAATGAAATTAGAAAGAACTTTCACATCACCTGTAAAAAAAGATCAAAAATATATATTTCACTTTTATCATCTTCAACATAAAGCTTCTCGTCTTCAAGCTTTTCTAACTTTAACTCTCTAGCTAAGCACAATATATATAGAGTTCATGACTTATTTATAAATATTTTTTTAATGATGCAGAGTGGGTAAGATGTATCCAGTGTTCACTGAACTTGTCTGGAATACAAATCAAAGGATAAATTATGACATATCCCATACACTTTTGTTGTTTTCTTTTTATTAAGTGTCAAATTTATTGTAATCATTTCAGAGTGGAAAGAAAAGAAATCACTCAAAAAACAGATTTCCTAGGCAGTGAGTAATAGGGAGTGGTAACACAGAAGTTCCCAACCTTCCTTGCAAAGGAGGATGGAATATAAATAGGCTGGACATAGCAAAATGCTGTACACTTAATAGCTACCTCTGTACTGATAAATTAAATGTTCCCAGGACTGTTTTCTAGCATTAAGCCAACTGGCTTAATGGTCAGGGAGGCTGCAAAGGTCCTGAAACATTCCTTACTAACAACTAAGTTTGTTATTTTGGATATAACCTGTATATCTTGGTACTGTTTTGTGAATATGAAGGATCAGCAAAATTATCTAAGTCAAGATGCTAAAGAAATCTCTTTATTTCAAGGAAGATGAGGATTATGTCTTGATTTTTGTGTGTCTCTTAATGAGGTGAAAACATTTGTTTTGTAGTTGTGTCAAAATCTGAGATTTATGAATGGGTTGTAAGGTACAGCTATACAGATACATGATGCTCCATACTTCTGTGTGTACCTGTTTGATATTATTTGCTAAGAAATCTGCTCCCAAATTCCCCCCATTCAGTGAGAATACAGTGGCAGTTCTGAAGTCCTCTGATATATGCAGTGGGTTATACAGTTCTTAGAACAATTGTTTGGTAAAACTGTTTGTTTAGCCGGAATAATTCTTCTTATGCTCCTTGAAGATCATAAGGTGAGCATGACCTGTTGATGTTGGTGAACTTTGAATCGGCATCTGGAGTAAACCAACATTTTCTGCTTTTCTTCCATATATAAATGTATAAATATATATATATATGTTTTTTCTGCATTTCTTGAGTCGCTTCTCAAAATGCAAAGTTGAAGACTTACTTTTCTGTCACCTACTCTTCATTCTCTATACTAAGAAATGTACATTATTTATTTCTCCTTCTTTAGGATTCAACCAATGCATACGTCCTGAGAGATTTTCAACTAGTTCAGCCTAAAATAAAACTCAGGTTTCAACTTTCTTGTATTCATTTCAATATAAATATTACATGTCATGTGTTATTGCTAATACCTCTTCTATAAAATAACACCCTGAGGGGCAGTGAGAGGTGCTAATAATGCTACAAACTGTTCAATCTTCTACTGATTGTTAGGGAATTCAGGTGCTCACCTGAGCCTTCAGGTTGCTTCCATTATTCATAACAATCTTGTCCTCAGCATGCCCACTTTTACCTCCCTTTCTCCAGTCTTTCAAGTGTTCCTCTTGGTTTTGGAGTGAAATCTTGCCTCTCACCTGAGCCCCAAGGCAAAAGCCCTTTGGATGCAGAAGCTGCCGCACTGAAACTTTCTACAGTCATTTCCAATTTAAATGTCCTCCTTTCTCTGGGACTATCTGCTTGTCAGCTGTGACCCTGAGGGCCCAGCATATCTTAGGAGCTTCACCTTGGATGTGCCCGGGGTCCCTCCTGGGGCTAAGCTGCTCTCATGGAGCTCATGGAAATGGAGCTGCTATATGTCAAAGGGTGCCAGGTCTAATTGACTTCGATGTGATATGCTTGCTTATTTTAACATACACGACAGGGAAATTTCAAAGCCTGAGATAGAATGAGCTGAGACTTGAGATTTTGGTATACTTGTAACTAAGGAGACTGAACAATTCAGGCTAAAATAAAACAAACAGAAAAGAAGTGTTTAATTACAGAAGAAATGCAACTCTGAAAGTTGTATTCTGAAAAATACAAATCATTGTTTTTGAAAAGCAAAACAACAGGATCATATTTTCACAGTATTGTTTCATCATTGAATTAATTGTTAATTCTGAAAAGTGCTGGAAGTACTGTTTATTATCTTTGCGAAAAGGTTTATTATATCAAGTAAAGTATTTGCAAATAATATGTGCCCAGCAAAGGAGCAATCAATTACAGCTCAGGGGAACTAAAATATATATCTGCTCCTTGGACACCATCTTCCCATCTTGGATGCAGTTTTGATCTTCACCTTCATTCTGCAGAGGGTAAAAGAATTATTACTCTTTGGTACAATAGAAGCAGCATCTAAAATATAGCATGGGCATAAAGAAAAGACAAATCTGGCTAGTATTATTCCAGCTTTGGATCTAGCTGTTCTCTTTATCATGTTCGAGACTGGCCTTATTTGTGATAGAGATGTATTTAGCCTTAGAGTATTTTCTAGTCAAATTTCAGAAGAGCAGAACTTTTTGTAGAATATAGTGCTTCTGTGCAAATGAGAGTTGTTTTTCTTAAAGTTCATTGAAGAAGTGGATATTCTTCAGGTTATGTTTACCTATTTTCAAATGAGTAAGAGTTAACACAGAGCTAGCTTCCCAGGGAAAGCTAAGGGGAAGAGAAGAAACCAAGAAGCGTTTTGGGGTGAGGGTGTTTTGAGAGCTTATGAATCATTTATTTCAGGACTCTCCTCCACCAACTCTCAGTAATTTAGAGGTATTACCTTGCCCCTCGGTCTTTCTGAATACTTCCTAAAAATTGCATTCCCACTGGGCGTGTATTCTGGGCTGGAAACAAAATCATTTAGAGCCTTCTCAGTGAGAAACACATATGTGTTAATTCTAGCAGGTTCTCTTGGACGTGCTTTAATTGCAGTAAAGCAGCCTGGCTTAACAAATGCCACTGAGTGAAGAAAGTGAAAGCATAAGTTTCCTGGACAAAAAGACATTTTTACAGTAATTATTCTGAGTGGGAATACTGCTGAGAAAAGTCTGTATTCAGAGAAAGTTTTTAGATGCCCTACTTCTTGTAATGCTGGCAAAGCAGGAAATTGTTTGAACATGTTGTTAGGCCCTCCAAAATGTGCTTTAAGCTCCTTTTGTTGTGGAAAAATCAGTCATCCAGAAAGTTTCTTTAAAACTACCTTTCTGTACAAGAATGTCAGATATTGATTTAAGCTTCAACATTTATTCAGCTTTTAAGGCATTACTTCTGTAATCGTACAGCATTTCTAATTTTTTAAGTCTGAACTTGAAATAGCTGATCCTTAAAAAGTGGCTCTAGAACCACCACATATGGCCGATAGATCTTGAGAAGAAAGGGTACTTTGAAGAGTGACCTCAAGGGTATTAAATGAAAGAAAGCCCACCAGATCCTTAAGACTTTGAGCCACCACCTTGAGCTGATTGGCTTAGAAGCATTCCTCATGGAGATGCCATGACCTGAAAGCCACTACCCTCCCAACCACATATTAGTGCTGCTTACAATCCGGAGCTCCTGACAGCTTTAAGCCCCATGTCATCGGCACATTGTCAGATACAGCTGTTTCCACTCTACCACTTCAAAAGAGCTTGATTAAATGTCTTACTGTAACAACATACAAAAAGACACACACATAGAATGAGGGGGAGAAGAAAAATGTACCTATAAGCAAAGTAAATATAATTTCCACTGGATGGTTTAATCATGATGTGAGGGACTAAATCATTCCTTGACTTGAAGGTCTATGTAATCAGTTAACACAATATCATATTAAAAAGCAGTTTCTAGAAGAGTGTCTTTTTTCTTTTTTTTCCTCAAATTGTGGAATAGAGATTTAATGACAAAGGCTCCAGGCTTGCAACAAACTCTACGTAGAACCATCTTAACAGTTGAAAGAAGAATGGTAGTTATTTCCAGGTAGTTGGCTATATTTTTATAGCCATCACATCAATAACATGCTTTCAATACCTCCAAATGGCGAATGTTTAGAATTTATGTTTTTATTTGTGGCAAGACCTCTAAAGGACAGAAAATTTACTTTCTATAGTACATATATTTTTTTTAAAAAAAGGAAATAGATGTTGGACTTAATCAAGATTTTCTTTATTTTGTAGTTTTTCCATATGTGTTTCAGTAACAAATTTCTGTCTTTGACTTCTCCTAAATGCTTAGTAATTCTTTCACTCTGCTTGACCAGCCTAGGAGTAAGTGTGAGGGAGATGTCTTTAACGCACTTTGCCAGCATTGTTAAAGGCATGTCCTTTCTTTGCCAAGGTCAATTTTTATAAAACTTCAAACAGCTCCTGCTGTGTTAGTTCTGCTGCTAATGGTAGAAATGAATTGTTAAGTAGAGATTCTTGAGTTGCCTGTAGCTAATCCTCAACCGGGAAAAAACTAACACTGTTCCTTGCTTCACCAGATCCA